ATATTTGATTATCATATAGTTGTGATTATATAAAGGTACCCTTTTTACAGTCACATCTTTATATAATCACCGATTTTAGTGAAACCAATTGTGTAATTATATAGCAGTCTGACTGTACATTAAATATTCATTTATTTTATTATGTAGTTTTACTCATTAAATATACAGAAATTTATATATTTTATATACATGTTATATTATTATTATAAATGCTAAATATATAAAAAAATAAATCTAACTTGAATAATTTATAGTCATAACTTTCATTCAGATTTTATACATTTTTTATTATAAAATATAAATTATATATAATACAGTCAACTCTTAATATGATGAACTCTTAATATAATGAATTTTTTGAATAAATATAATAAAAATACTCTTGTTATAGCAAATTGGCCAATCAAATCTCTTAAAATCTTTACTATAATCTTATAGTGAAGTTGAGGTCTAGAACATAGAGTTTGTTATAACAAGAGTTGACTGTATAGTTATTTTATATTATATTATCATATCTAATATAAGTATTAAATATAATAAAAAAGTAAATAAAAAGTTAAATTGTGTATAATATTTTATTTCTGTTTTCTTTAGATAATCAATATTTTTTACTTATATATCCTTTATTTTTTAATAGGTTCAATGATATCTTCTTCAATTTAATATTTTTTAGTGCTATTATTTTTAGATTTTGTAATAGTCTTATTTTAAAAAGATCTATGAAGTCTTGTTTATCTATATTATTATTTAAATTATAAATTATGAGATTAGTATATTTAACATAATCAAACTAAATATTAATATAACTTAATTAATAACTTATATATTGAAGGCATCATTTACTAAAGATTTTTTTGATGATTGTTTTAATAATTTAATTTTTTAAAATTGATTATTTTTTAAAATAAATTCTTAAAATCAGAAGTAAGAGTATTTTCAGAAAGTCTGATTCTTAATGATCTAAAAAATGTAATATTAGATTATATTCTAAATTTCTGTTAATATTTTTTAAAGGATTTCTATTAACAGAATTTTTACTTCTTGAAATTTCTTTAATAGTTTCCTTTTTGTATTTATTATTTTTCTTTTATAAATTTTTTTATATAGGTATAGAAGATTTTTTATTATTATAAAATAATTAAAGTAATTCTTGAGCAAAACTTTCTATATCTAAAATTTAATCATAAAATGATATATAAATAGATCTTATATCAGATTCACTAATATATTTAAAACTTTCATTAAAATTTACATGATCTTCTAATATATAGTTCCTTTTATATTCATCTTTTAAATCTATAAAATATATTTAAGATAATTGTATAACATGTTTTGTTAATAAAATATTAGTAATATTTACTTACTTTTTATATTAGTAGTTTTAAAATTTCTTTTATTAATATTCTTTTTATTTTGATTATGATTAATATCTTTAGAATCTTTATTATCTAAATCTATAAGATATATTTAAGATAATTGTATAATATGTTTGCTAATAAAAATAAAGATATCTACTCACTTTTTATATTAGTAACTTTAACATTTCTTCTATTAATATTTCTTTTATCTCAATTATAATTATTTTTACTTACAAAAAATAATAAACCAATAATATATTCAAACTAACTTAAATTATTATAGAATACCAGTGTTAGCAATTGGACCAATTGGACTTAGTAAAACTGCATCATAATTTGAATTAGATGTATAAATTTTATATGTTTAATTATCTAATTCATACTGTGAATAGGTAAATGTGACGCAGCTTATGTGATGTAGAAGATCGACTAATTTGACATAAATGATATATATAATATATCAGACATATGTGACATAATTGACATATTAGACATAGTTGATATATTAGATATAGTTGATATAGTAGACATGTTAGTTATATCTCTCTATGTAATTTATTTTATATAAATAGGTAGCTTTTTAGTTTATGTAAAAAGACAGATAGATAGAAACTTGACAAGTTAATTTAGTAGTTTTAGAGGCAATTGGCCTATCACATTACATTTTTGTTTCAGTAATTCATTTCTTTTCTTTTCTTATTCTATTTTTTTATTTTCTTTTATTTTTTTCTTTTACTTTTATTATTTTATTCGTGAATAAACACATTATTTTACAATTCTAAATCAATGACAATCTGTTGAATTACTGCTCGTCATAATAGTATAAACACTTTTAATAATCAGTCTGAAATAAAACTCGTTAACCGTTGAAAGATTATTGCTCAATTAAAAAGAATAAACCACTTAAATACCTCGTCTAATAGTTGTAGTTCGTAAGAATTACACGTTAACAATACTTGAATATTAGTTAAATATATTCCTTTTTTAGAAAATTACAATTTATTAAATTTCAAAAAAATGTGAATTAGTAGAAATTTTAAAATACATTCTGAAAAGAATTTAGCAAAATATTTTATTAATTACTGTAATAAATTTAATATTCTTATTAAATTATATATTTATTTTTTAATTTTTTTAAAATTTAATTTACAATTATAATTTATATTTAATTATATTATAAATTCAAGTTGTATAACTGACAATATTAAAAATAATAGTATTATGATGAAAGAATTTGAAAAAGAATATTAATTATAAAATATTAATTTTTTCAAAAATAATAATTTTATTTGATGTTTTGCTTATATTATAAATTTAACTATATAAAATACATTTAATTCATTAATTATAAAACTTTTATTATTATATCATTAATATTTATAGGATTTTCATTAGAGTTTTCATTAGAATTTTCATTATTATTTAACTCATATTAAGAGCTTTTAATAACTAAAAATTTATTAATATTAAAATATATATATTAGTATATATATAATTTATAAAAGTATATTAATAATAAAAATAAAATAATATTATTAAGCGATTTTGCTAATTTGATTACAAAAATTCATATAATTTTAAAGACGGTTAACAAATGCTATATTTATACAAATTCCAAATAATCTACAAATAATAAAATAAATAGTTTTTTGAAGGAATCATTAGTGATTAATCAATTTAAACAAATTTAAAAATTATTACAGAGTAGCTGCAATTTTAGTTTAGATTTCTCATTTATTTTTTTATATTTATAACTATAAATCTATTTAATAAAGCTCATGATAGTATCATATCATTAAAATTCAAAAAAAATAATCTGTGTTATAAATTTTTAGGATTCTGAATTAACATTTATAAAGAATATTTATTTTAATATATGATATTATTATTTAGATTAGCATAACTCATAATACAAGATGAATTAAATGAACTTTTAAGATACCTATTTTTGATTATCTCTAGACCTTCTGCAATTAGGAGTACAGAAAGTTCCATCATCAATATATTAGTTAATAGATAAAACCAAAAGTTCTGCTATAATATTTAAAAAATATCACAATTTAAACTAATAGGTCTATAAACTTACAATTATTAGAACTTACAATTATTAAAATACATATTATTAATATTATATATAAATAAAAAGATATGTAATTGTGTAAATTAAATATTAATATAAGTTTAGAGATTATTTTTATTATACTAATTTATCTTAATTTTGAATATTTTAAAATTGCATATTTAAATAAGAATTAAAAGAAGTTAAGAAGAAATTAAAGAAGACTGGAGAGATATTAAACAAGTTAATTAGAATAATGAATAAAAGAAGTGATAGGAAGATAAGATTGAGAATTTAAAAGATAAAAAAGAAGTAGACTTATTTATTCATTTATATTTTTGAACAGGATATCTTATAATTAATTAATCTATATATATTTCATGAATTTTTTTACTTTACCTTATTGCAGTAGATAAAATATAAAGTTAAGTCATAATCCATTTATTTTATTAACATATAATTTTTAATTTTTATTAAGGATTTCTTTATTAACATTTTATTTCTTTAAATAAAAAAGTACATTTCAATAAAAACATAATTTTAAATTCTAAAAAAGAGATTTAAAATGATGAGATTGTCAAAAAATAATTTTTCTAACAGAAGGTATTTATTTTTTAAGTAATCAAAATAAGGATCAAATATTTTTATTCGTTAATAATTTTTGACAGTAATCAGAAACTCCAGAAATTGAAAAATTAATCTACTTTATTAAAAAGAAAAAAGGTATAGCATATGATCAAGATAATCAGAATCCTGTGTATTTTATGAAACAATTAGACACGAGACCAAAACTATACTTATAACTTCATTACAAGAAGAAACTTAGAAAATGGGCAGAAATAAGAAAACTTTATATGCAAATATAGATATGAGATGATTTTTCTCATAGTATAAGATACAATTTTCACTATAAAGCAGACAAATGATACTCTTAGAATCAACATACAGTATGTAAGTAAAAAGATTATAGAATGTTTAAAGGAAGGAGTTGCGTCAAGATTTATTTGAAGTAGTGGCACAGAAAATTTTGTGAATTGGTGGAAAGTTTGAAAACATGTTACCTGAATATGGAAATTATGAAGTAAAATCGCATGAAAAGGTAGAAAGTTCACAAAAAATACCATTCTGGATCAAAAATTAAAGCAATATGCACCCAAGATTGATTATCATCAATTGTAGCAATTTATTTCCTATTATCAACGTCTTTGTAAAATTGTAAATATTCTTCAGCAAGATAGGTCTTTTAGAGTTATTGGCCAGACCAACTTGCAACATCTTTTCTTATCTTAAATAAGATAACTCCAAAGTTTTCATTATCATTGCGGCTTGAATTGACATCAAATGACCGAAGAAACATGCGGCAAATGACATACATACAATGATGTTTTTGTGTGGTAAACAAATTCTGTAGTGTGATGTAAAACAATCTTGTAATGCATTGAATGTGTCTGCGGTGTTCTGGTGAATCACCGGAAATCATCATCCTTACATCGTTCCGAATGGTGATGATACTGTTTCTTGGAATTGATGACATATTTCTATATATAAATAAAATTCAAACCTAATTATGATAACAATAACATGATTTTTTTACTACTTACCTCGTAAATCAATCATGTGATTTAAATCAAATGATATTATTGTTACACTATTTACGGCATATGGTAAATGCCGTATCGCCATATTATTTTGTTGAAATGTCTTACTCCTAAATCAGTTTCTAGAATACCAGAAGGCGCGTTGCATAATCTAATAAACGCGAATGACATATAGCGAACTTTATGCTTTCTTAGGTCTCTCTCTTTTTTTTTTTTTTTTTGTGCGTATGCATAAATTTGTTTGCATTTTTGTATAACGATACACGACTAATCCAATCGTTGCACGAGACAAATGTGGCACTTTCCATCGAGTTTTATAGATTACATTGTGTGTCAAGCTCTCCTGTTGCTGCTACGATAAAAAAAAAATTCTTAGTATTAATTCTTAGTATTTGGATAAGTTTCGGATTTATAAATAATAAATAATAACATTCAAAAACTTATTTTGTGACAACAATAACACTACATCATGAGATCTAGAAATTTTAATATAAATTTTCCTTTTGAAATGAACAATTACATCGATTATCTATGATAGTCACATGATTGTTACTTCATAAGCTTTCATTGGTCGAAAGTTTTATATAAACTTTCCTTTTGCAATGGACAATTTCATCAAAGTGAGCTTTTTATTTTTCTCACTTTTTCCTATCTAAAGGCATTCCAAATGCAGTTGATAACCCATCGCCCGCCTAATAACAACTATACAAATCATCGAACTCCGCAACACAATCAATATCATCGCTATCGCAACGGAGGCTATCGCAACGGTAGCAATAATATGGGCGGACGCAGTTATTCAAATGGTTGGAACCATTATGATAATAGTGGTATGCGTGATTACAAAGAACCCCCTCCGGACTGGAAGAGATTCGTCGAAATAACTTTCATGGTTAGTAAAGTCCCTCAAAAGGCCGACGTTTCGGAAATAAGAGAGGCATTCTCTTCTCATGGAAACATTTATAAAGTCGAATTTGAAACGAGAGATTCTATGGAGGGTGAACAGCCAACCGGAGCTGTGCGTGTTACGTTTAGGTAAAATTATTTTTTTTTAATAATTTTATGTCTCTGATATTTAAAGTTTATAAGCTAGGTTAATAATTGATAATATTATTATATAACAGGCCCGTGCCCTCAACTCCATTTTGGAGAGAACCAGTACGTTTTCATGGGAAAGACTTACAAGTTGATTATTTGGACCATATGTCGGATCATTTCTGTGACTATACTGATAATAAAAAATTTAAGTTAAGGTTTCATTCGTTAAGAGCGGAAAGTTTAGAGATGGGCGTCTATATGCAACCAGAAGTTTTTGTTTCAGAAGTGAAATATTCTGAACTCGTACAATTCATCATTAATTATCAAAAACGTAATATTTCTGTTGAATTTGGTATTAAGAACTTACAACAATATTACATGTTTAAGATGGAAATCGAATTTAAGGATATCGACGGTGAGATCCATGCTGAACTTGATGACTCAAGACAAAGATCACGGGGAATAATAACTATTGCTAACAAATTTCCTGCAAGGTATTGGATGTTCGACAATAGGTTACAATCAAAAAATCAATTCAATTGGAGAATGTCCGACTCTTGGAAGCGTAAAACTGAAATACGAGTTAAAAAAAGTAATACGGATGGTATACCCCTTCAACCACATATGCCAGATAATAGTGAACAACTGGGCAAATGGGTTGTTTTTAGAATTACCTTTGACCTGGATGGAGTTGCCAATACTCATAGAGAAGGGTTCATTCTATTCAAGGAGATGATGCAAAAAGCGAGCGAATACAACCTAGCTCCCAAGAACGCCATTAACAAAAGGCCGCTACGTATTGTTGATGGGATTAATATGCGCAAATGCGTGGAACGTTCAATGTTAAATTATGACGTTCTTTATATGGTTGAATGTAACCTTTCATTCAACTTTTTGCACGACTATAATTTGAATAGCGAGTTCTTTTCACTGTTGAACAGTCTGCCAACAGAATCAGCAACATACATCATGGAGACGATCTATGCAAAAAAGAAACGTCAGTTTGATCCATTGTCGTATTTAAGATATGAGTCCATGAGACATGTCGAGAGGAAGCCGAGGCATGTGCCATCCTATTGTGCAATGATGCGTAAGGTTGTAGTAACCCCAACAACCATGTACATCTTGGCTCCGACCATGGAGACTTCCAATCGTGTGATACGTCACTTTCACCATATGAAGGACAACTTTTTGCGTGTCCAATTCGTGGATGAAGCATCTAACAAAGTTAGTTCGACCAATGGAACTCATAACGATGCCTTGTATAACAAGATTTTCAAAGTTTTATGCGATGGTATCAAGATCGGGGATAGGCACTACGAATTTTTGGCATTTTCATCAAGTCAACTGAGAGATCATTCATGTTGGTTTTTTGCTCCAACCGCTGATAAATCTGCGGATGATGTTCGCAAATGGATGGGGACCTTTTCAACTAATAAAAGTGTCGCCAAATATGCTGCTCGTATGGGGCAGTGTTTTTCAAGTACTCGTGCAATCGCGCGTCTGCCAGTTAACGATATCGTAAAAATCCCTGATCTAATAAGAAATAATTATACGTTTTCAGACGGCGTAGGAAAGATCTCTTATGCTTTATCAAAAAGAGTGGCCGACACCTTAGAACTAAAGACCGTTCCTAGTGCGCTCCAATTTCGACTTGCTGGGTATAAAGGAGTATTATGCCAATCAAAATTTCTGCGAAAAAATCAAATTCAAGTGCGTCCGAGCCAAGAAAAGTTCGCGTCGAACCACTATGTATTGGAGGTTATAAGAGGGTCTACCTTCATTCCAGCATATCTCAATAGGCAAGCTATTACATTGTTGTCTGTACTAGGAGTACCCGACAATGTATTCATTGATATGAAAAATGCGCAGGTCAATGAGCTAGATAAAATGCTTAAAAACGAGAATAACGCCGTAACTGTTTTACATAAAAACATCGATGAACACGGCGTAACCAAATCTCTGGCAGACCTTGTGAAGGCCGGATTTTTACAGAGCAAAGATAGATATCTAATGAACTTGATATCTTTATTCAGCATTATGATGTTGAGGGATCTTAAGAAAAAAGCTAAGATTCGTGTAGACAAAGGTGCATTTTTGTTAGGAGTTTTGGACGAAACGGAGGCTTTAAGAGAGGGTCAGGTGTATTGTTGCGTCTCTGATCCGGTAAACCCTTCCAGTAGGAAAGTGATTACGGGACCTTGTATTGTGTACCGTAATCCTTGTTTTCATCCTGGAGACATACGTGTCGTTACTGCAGTGCCATGCCCTGCTTTGAGTCACCTTGTCGATGTGGTGGTATTCCCAGCGGTGGGCTATCGTGATATTCCTAGTGAATGCAGTGGAGGAGATCTAGACGGTGACGATTTTACGTATGTATAAAAACTAAACATGAATTTGATTATTTTGTTATTATTATTTAAAAAAAAAAAAATTCTTTTTTAGCATCATATACGATGAGCGCTTAATGCCAAGGATTCGAAACTATGATCCGATGAATTACGAGGCGCCAAAACCTGATTTGGTAGATGAAGTAACCATGACGCATATCAAGCAGTTTTTCGTGAATTATATCTTGTCTGATCAACTGGGTATGATCGCGAATGCCCACTTGGCAAAAGCCGATCACTCGGATAGTGGCGCATTTCATGGGCAATGTATACGCCTTGCGCAATTACATTCTGAAGCCGTGGATTTCCCCAAAACAGGAAGACCGGCAATCTTTCCAAATGAGCTCCGAGCCCGTTCTTTCCCAGACTTTATGGAAAAGCCCGACAAAAATAGCTATGAATCTAAAAAGGTCTTGGGTATTATGTACCGCTCTATTGAGGTTGCAGAGTTCGAACCCTATACCCGTTTGAATTTTGATGAAAGATTATATGTGGAAGGATATAGAGCGTATTTAGAGGAAGCAAGGGTTCTCAAAAGAACATACGATGAGGACATCAGAGGATTGATGAACCAGTTTGGTATTATGACTGAATTTGAGGTAGTCAGCGGATTTATCGTAAACTCGGTCACGAAAGTTGATCGAAAGAAGCCGCGCGACGTCACGAAATCTGTTTTAGACGCTATGGGTCCATTAAAAAAGCATTACAGGAGAATATTTGAAAAAGAGTTTTATGGTGAAGGAACTAATATGGTTTCACCAGAAGCTCGTAATCGAATGGAGGCCAAAGCATTTGCGTGGTATTATGTAACGTATCATCCTTCCGAATTGGGAGACGATGCTTCGGAAAACATGATCACATTTCCTTGGATTGTTCATGATACATTATGCGAAATCGCCATTCGAAACAATAATAGAGCGAATAATCCTTTCCAAGACATTCCCCGGCAGAACTCACCTCATGAAACTAATGGAACAAATGGCTTTATGGATCATCAATCTACTATCAGTATTCATCATCATACCACCACCGCCGTGTATAATAATGGCAATGCTATGTATGATGACATTCCTGATGATTCGGATCAATTTATTGATGACTTTATTGACGACGATGATGACGGTATGGAAAGATTGATGCAATCTATTAGGGGACAGAGACATGGGTAATCATTTGAAACTTCAATGGCACTTGTTATCATTAGTAACATTTGCTTTTTCATTCAATAATTTGAATGAAATTTTAAACAGGCTCTATTCATTTAGAGCTATTCCAATTTGTAATATTGGCACAAAGGTTCTTTTTTTTTTTTTGACAAATTAAATTTGTTGAAAATCTTTACATTTTAAAGGAAAAAAAAAACTCCATTCTTTTAAAAAATGTATAACTTCAACAATTCTTTGATAGGTATCTACCTTTTTTTTTCTATTAGTTTATTAAAATAAACATTTTTTTTTCATTTTTGAGTATATTTTTATATGTACGTTTTTTTGATTAAAATAAAGAATTTCATTATAATTTTTTTTTCGCGCGTATTTTCAGCCAGCATTTCTATAGTTGATATCGTAAATATTTAATAAATATCACATGATATTTATATTTTTATATAAATAGTTGTAAACAATTTTAAGGTGTTCGTAACGTTAATTTTTTTATCCGTCGATCAAAGATAGAATTTAAGAAGGAAATTTGGAAAGTCATCCTTATAATTACATCTATTATTTTGAGATTTTTGTATTGTTTGAAATTATTTGTAATTATTATTTGGATTTTCTTATTATTTATCGAATCATCATTCCATTTTTATGATTGAACCTAGAACTTTTTAAATTATAAAATTTATTTGATCTTATTGAGTTCGGAATGAAGTTTCAAATTCTTGTTTTTTTTGTTTATATATATAATAACCAGAATATTTAAACAAGTATTGGTGCTCATTTGGTAAATGATAATTTATTTGTTTATAGCTCGGAACCAATTAAATTTCAATAGCAAAAAGAAAAAAAAAAAAAGAAAAATCAATCTTTAATAAATTTCAAACAAAAAAAAACTTGGGTTTTTAATACCTTACCGCATGCCGTAATTGCTTAAGGAATCGATTTGATCCATTTTTTCTTCCCAAAGCAATTGTTGTTTGGCGTCTAATTACGACATTTATAAAGATATAAGTTATAATAATGACGCAAGTTGATGAGTTTCTAATATAAGAATTGTGAGAAAATTTACATTTTTGGTTATTGATCACCAGTAAGGACCTAAGAACCTATGGGCGGTATGGAGGATTCCGAGGATTTTAGTGATTTTCAAACCAAAATCACCATTCGGAAACCGGTATAGTATCGTCGGAATTACAAGTTTGGGTGATATAAAAAATAAATTCCCAAATATTTATTAAGCGATTTTTTTGTTATTTTTATTGTTGCACGTTATAGGATCACAAAAAGTTGGATCACTAATGTCATAAACCAATAAGGATTCATTTCAAATGGATAATATATTTAAGCTTATCTTTAACGCTTGATTATCTCTTTATTTAGGTTACCACGCGTATACATGTATATAAATAATAAGTCACATATATCAGATTTTTTTTTTTTTTTTACGAAAAATATATTAATTTGTATCATAATCATTTCTATATTTTGTAATTTAAGAACCACTCATATTTCGATTTTTTTTTTTTTTTTTTTTAAACCCAACAAACTAAGCCTTCTTTCAAAGATAACAAGAATTCCTAAAATTCAAACAATATTTTTCTTGTCAAATATAATTCTATTTTTAGTTGATATCATTTCATAATGATATAATTTATTGTGACTAGTACAATAAGAAATTCTTGAGATTTTGTTTTACACCGATTTTCCGATTAAGTTGCAAACATATTTATTATTAAATTTTTTAAAAATACATACATGTGTTTCAGGAACATTTTTTAATAATCTATACAAGAATAGTAAGAAGTTTTTTGTTTGTTAAAAAAAAAAAAAAATTCCCTAAATAATAAAGTGGTACTATATACTGTATTATTATTATTTATATTATTAAATCAACCACGTTTTTCACGATTTTTTTGTTTTTTTTTTGTTATAAAAATGCCTCTGAAATTTAATCAAATTAATTTTTTTTTTATTTCCACCAAAAAAGAAAAAAAAAAAAAAAATTTTTTTTTTTTTTCCCTAATGCAATAACGATAAATTCTTTCAAACGAATAAAAATCCTTCATCAATATATTTTTTCTTAAACGATATCTCCCTCCCTCTCCTCTCCTCCTCCTAACGAAATTTTTTTTTTTTTACGATAACTTTTTGATTCATTAAGATTTTAGGGCTGTGCAATAGCCACCACACGTTCTTATTATAAATACAAGTCAAAAACCTTGCTTTGCAATAATTATTTTACTTTGCCACCACATTACTTGCGGATTTAAAATCTCTTTTTCACGATCACTTGCAAAAAAAAACCCCTCCCCTTTACTTCACCCTTCAACTGTTAAATATTTATCAACATGAACGCACAAGTTTTCTCAACTTCTCCTCAATCATCAACCACTTCAGGACACGTTTACACCACCGAAATTTACCCACCATCTTTCCTTCCTTCTTCGTCTGATTCAAGTCCGATGGAAAGTCCAATTTTATTGCCAAGAAGGGTCCCTTCATTTAATAATGTTAATGATCATTTCGCGTTAGATGGTAGCGGTAATAACAACAACGGTCAGCAACAGAGAGACTTTGTTTTCACGCTTCCTTCCCCCGTGGTCAATAGCAATCAACGTGCTGTTAAAAGAAAAGGAAGTAGGGCTTCTATCAGATCCAATAGAAATTCGATGTTTTTGGATCCTATCGTCGAAGAATCGAATGATTTCGGTCTTTTGAACATGAACGGTGGTAGCGATACTATTGTTAAACATTAAAAAAAAAAAAAGAAGATATCCCCATTTGAAAGTGATTTACATCCGTCACGTGAAGTTTCGATCACTAATCACGAGTTCGTTGCCCAAGCTTCGCATTCCGCAGCATTTCAAGCTTTTGTATATTTTTTTTTTTTTATTTCCTTGTATATAATTTTTTATTCGTTGGCATTTTTTTATTTGATCCTTATTTTTTTTTTTTTTTTTATTATTATTTTCATAACTATTTTGTCATTTTCATATGTTCATATTATTTTATTTTTTTTTCATAATTATACTCAATGTTTATATTTTATTCATTTTCATCTTATTATACCTCGAATAGTTTAAACTTTGTATTTGACCTTTACCCCTTTGGTTTAATTGCTTGGTTTTTACCGTTCTTTACTTTTTTTTTTTTTTCTTAATATTTGTTAATTGTTAATCATTAATATTTATATGTATATTTTTTATAAATAAAAATCATATTATTTATATCAAACTTGTTATTTTGAGTATTTGTAAAATTGTACAACCTTTTGAGCCCCCTGATAAAAAAACTTGAAATCATGGGAAGTTATTTTTCATTTCCAACGAAATCAGATTAGTTGGAATTTTCTGAGAAACGCGAACAAAAAATAGAGTGTTGAGTTTGTTAATTTCAAATATTATCTAATCTAAATTAATGTTTATTTTTTTTTCTGGTTTTTACAAAAAGTTTTATCATAAAAAAAACATTAATTTATGTTTGGGAATTGCGTGACTGATTCAATAAATCGTCTCTTATTGAATTGATAAATTTAAAATTTGTTGTAATAGATGTAATGCACATAAAATATTCATAAAAGGAAAAAAGATGATGTTACGTATCAACAAAATATCAACATTTATGCCAAAAGTTTCTATGAATTCAACTACAGATAACTAGTTCGGGATATTTTTATTCCCACATTTCTCACGGGTTAATCAATCCTGTTAAAAGTACATTTTATAATCATTAAATAATAATAATCATCATCATTATTATTACTGTTTTTATTTTAAATTCATAACCTTAAAATAACTTAAGATGTGACTTTCTTTACAGGTAAGACTAACTTTTCATTCCTTTTCCAAAATTCCACTAAGGCATTAGCGGTTCTATCAGGAGCATCTTCTTGTACCATGTGGCCCACATCGGGCAGTACAAGAAGCTGATACTTACCTTGCATTTGAGCAATGGTTAATTTTTTATCTAGTCTATCAGTTCCCGCAAGGATAAGTAATTTCGCTGCTTTGGCTGATAAGAATTTGTCCGATAGACCAAGAAACCATCCTACGATGAAGCATGATTTTGGTTTATTTTTATTTTTTTTTTAAAAAAAAGAAATAATTTGCTTTAGAATTATCTACCTTTCCAATATGGTTGAGACGCGGCTAAATCAGTTTTCCAAACGTATTTAACGGCATCAGTTTGTTTTGATTCTTGTTCTCTTAATAAACTTGGTATAGATATTTTAGAAGATTCTGCATTATGTATGGTAGAACTCTTTACACTCCATTCAATTGCATGTTCAATTGATCTAAATTCTGTTGGCCTAGTTCTCAAAAAATCCAACATTCCTGAAATTGCTTCCAAAGCTGACCCTAAATGTAAGTTCCATGCCTCGTGAATTTTTTTTTTTTCCTTTTTTTAATTAAATCCTTAGCTTTAACGCTCAAAACATACCCTCAACGACATCTATTACGGCGATACAAGTCATAGATGGAATTAAGTTTTCTGAAGCCGCATTTGCAACAACACATCCTCCCATACTAAATGAATTTAAAAGGTTTATTGTTTGATTTTTCAATAACTGATCAAGTTATTCTGGCATACCTATGTCCCACCAAGAATATATCTCGACTCGTTATAACGTCTTCTCCATATGCAGCTTTCAATACATTTACTAGATCCTTACTTAACCTATCCAATGATAGATTATAATCTTCTGACGTCTTGGTATCCCCTAAAATTATTATTATTATTTTTTTTTTTAAAAAAAAAAAAGAATTAGATCTTGGCTTCCCCTTACCATACATAGGTTTAATGTTTATCAAACCGTACCATGCCCTCTACAGTCGTACACAAACATAGTACAACTACCATTCATCAATTGCTTGATGTAAGAACATGTTAAAGCAAATGATAATGCGGAATATCCAGCCCCATGATGAAAAACGAAAAGTGGACAATTTTCCAAAGTTCCACGTATCTCATATGTTTTAAATACGTGAATAAGGATTACACTCTGTCAAGGA